GGGGGGGTGTCTGTGAGGTTGTACCTGTGTGAGGGGGGGTGTGTGTCTGTGAGGTTGTACCTGTGTGAGAAAGTGTGCAAGGGAAGTGTGAGAGTGGGTGAGGCTGTGCAAGTGTGAGAGCGGGGGTAGGCATGGGGAACTGAGCGTGTGAGGAGGGTGTGACTGCATGCGTGTGTGACTGTAACTGTGGGAGTTTGTGCGTCTGTGTGTGTTAGGGATGCATATGACTACATGTTTGTGACAGTGTGACAGTTTGTGGGTCAGGGGGAGCGAGCACGTGGGTGTGTACTGAAGACCACCTTGTACAGGAACAAGTCATGCACAGAGAAATGTTTTTTGTACCAGAAATCGCCCGGTAGGCTATTGAAAACACCAGCCTGTTGTCACCGGCGCTGTAACTCAGAGCTGCCCCTTGCAAGGCACTCTGTCTGCCAGAGGTAAGGGCGTCCTGGCAGGGCCCCCGCTCCCCGCCGCAGTGCCCGCTGCGAAGCTGGTCCCTGCGATGCGCAAGCCGACCGTACCAGTGACAGGGCAGGGCCCAGAAAATGAAGCGAGCCCAGAAGGCGCTGAGGTGGAGGCTGGCTGCCTGCGGACTCGGCCAGGGGTCTGGAGGGGTGGCGGGATGTGCGGGACTGGGAGAGGTTTTTCAGCAGCTGGGATTCCCTGGGAGGATCCCTCCTACCTCCCGCTGTGCTGGCAGAGGCCATTCCCGGTGACTCACCTCCATCTGCCAGGGAGGAAGTGGTAGGAAAAGACAGCTGTAGTTGGGGAGTGATTGTACCGCCATCCCACAACCCTCAGCAGGTTTGTGACCTGCTGAGCCAACTAGCTTACGCTGAATCTGGAGCCTCGCATCCTGACATCTGCATGTCCTAAAACGCAGGGACTAACTTTGCATCTCCTAAAGTGCAGGGTAGAAGCCAGAAAAATGCCTTTTTTCCAGTGCCCAGGAAAGAGGCAGGGCTGCTGAGCTGAGCTGGGCAGAGCTTTGCTCTCTGGCAAGGCTGCAATTAGATGTGCTTAGTCAGCCCCCTCCAGCAACAAGCTCAGCGAGCATCACATTTTGGTTCCTGGGGAAAAGTTCCTTTTTGGAGTATTGCCAGGAAAAGCTTACACTGTTGTTCTTTTTTTGGAGAAAGCTTAATAAGAAGAAGAGGGGGAAAAAAAGAAAAAGAGTGCCTACGGATCTAGGTTGGTCTATTTTAGTCTGACCTCTCCTGAAACCATTACTTTGCACATTTGAGCTGACTGTCATCTTCATCCAAAAATAGCCCTGCTGGATTCCCATTCTCCCATGCGGGTCCTTTCCCATTTGACTTCCAGCCACAGTAAGCCGTGCTGTGCTATTAAAAAAGGCGCTGAATTTGAAAGTTGGGTGCAAAGTCTCTGCTAAGACACAGGGCGAGCACCCAGCCGGCACGCCGGGAGGATTCCTCCAGGTGTAGAAAGGAGGATTCCTTGTCTAAGCACAGCCAGTGCTTGTCGTCCCTGCAGCTAGCAGGGGGTGTTGCATGCTCCCAAACCTCGAAAGCTTCCTTGTTGCACCAGAAGTTTCCTCACTGGACTTCCCAAGCTCCCCTGCAGGAAAGACCGTACTGTGTATGATATAAGTGTAGTTCGTAACGCTATGCTAGCACCTCAGCCCTTGCCCTGTTGATTCTCCAGACACACACCCTCCCATGTCTCCAGGCACAGGGCTGCTCAAGTTGGGAAAGAAGACGAGTGTGGCCTGTTTGGTTTGGGGCCACTGGTCCCCTGGGTTGCCAGCTGGCTCTGCGTTGGGTGCTGTTCTCCTCTGGCTGTGCCCACGGCTCCTCCTCACCCACCCTGTCGTATAATGAGACATTCACGGACCCACACACTCGCACAGGACCAGCAAGGCAGAAAGGCCAAGCCACATGTGTACTACCAAATGAGACCGGGCTTGGCATGGGGCACTGTCCCTCGATCAGTCGGGCTGTTTAATTACCAGCATGTTCTGGCACGGGGTTTGGCCTGTGCCACCCAGCCCTGTCCCAGGCACCGTTCAGGGATGAGCACCTGTTCCCGAGAGGCAAGACAGCTGAGGTAACCCCATCTGGGACCGGGGGAGGGAAGAGTAGTGTTTAGTCATGAGCTATACTGTGCCATGCACCCCTAGGGCCAGAGAACGGGGTCTGGCTCACTTCACCTACTAGTATAGACTTGCCTTGACATCGACATGTGGTTGCAGAGGCTGGTTTGTCCGTGTGATGCCTGGTGCTTCAAAATGGAAGACCAGGCGCTCTGGTTCCACTCCGCTTCGCCCCTTGCTATCGGATAGGCCTGACTGCCCCAGCCCTGCCTGCAGCTGAATCGACGTCTTGCACCAGCCGCTTCCCTTGGCATATGCACATCGTTAGTGCAGGTGCCTGCGTGAATCAGGCAGTTTAGCCAAACTGAAGGTGTGTTTATTGCCCATAGCAGAGCTGGTCTTCACTCCCCAAGGAGTTGTAATGAAGGAGGTGAAGGAAGTGCTTATTTTAAAAAGCTGGCACTGGTGAAAGCCAAGGACACCTGGATCTTATCCTCTGTTTTGTTCCCTTTGTTTTTGATTTTGCCAGAGACAAGCCAACGCAGCAATTGTGGCTTGTAAATGAGGTGTGGCCATGACTTGGCTGGAGCATGGATCACAGCAGTGATCTATATTTAGATCACTCGTTTCTTGCCAGATGAAATAAAATATTAAAAGCAGCAGCTTAAATAAATACAACAGAAAAGCCACAACAGGAGTGAGCTGAACAGTGACCCAGTTTACATGGCCACGTACATAGGAGACAACGAAGGAGTTCTACTTGCAGAACTAAACCTTATCTCAGTAAAAGCCCACTGTCTTCCCAAAAGCAGGGACCAGAGGCTCAGGGAGAACACACTTGGCCACAAGATTAATGCTCGTGCCTCCCATCCCAAGCATCTTTAATGCCGGGTCTGCATCCCAGACATTCAGACAGAGCAGTGCCTGGACCCCTGGGAGGATCTCACGGGACCATCAGTGTCCTTTGTGTGACCATGGTGTCCAAGCAAAATGCTCACGATTTCACCTGACCCTCCAACATTGCTTTCGCTGGGAGCTGGATCCTATAGAATGAAGCAGTGAAGATCTACCCAAAGACTTGCTGTCACAGCTCATTCTCAAAGCACCCCCGGGCCCAGTGCTCATGGGGATGAAGGGGCCGAAACCAGAGCTCCCATCCTGCAAGAGGGAATTTGGCTCTTTTTCCTGTGAGTTTACCCTGGGCAAGGGCCAGAGGAGTTCTGCGGGGGCTGACACAACCTCAGTGAAGACAAATTTTCTCATTTCCTTGCTTCTGTGAGACAAGGACAAGGCTGTGTTCCCCTGAAGCACGGGTGACATTTGGGGGAGAAAAAATGTATTTCCCAGGCTACCTTTCACTAAATCACACAAGAAAATAAAAATGACCCTGATCCTCCCCCTTTCATCTCCCTTCTCCTCCCTCCTCCTTCCCTTCATGCCACGTCCAGTTATGCTTCATTTACCAAGCCATTACGCTGAATATTTGGCTTTCTCCACATCTGAGTGGGCAGGTTCTCCCTCGCTTTGGTCTCCAGGAGCAGAGGGAATGCTTTGAAGCCTAGCCAGGGGAGAAAACTGGCACCACACGCTTCACCGTGCAGTAGCCAGGAGATGCACGTCCTCCTTGCAGGAGCTCAGACTGACTCAACTCTCTTTTTCTTGTTTTCTTCACCTTTCAAGGAACTCATTGAGGTTGACAGTGAAGTGGTGTTTGAACTGGCTGCATACATCTTGCAGGTAAGCACCTGCCTTCTCTCGCTTCATGCTTCCTCGTGTTGCATTAAATCTCCTGACTTGCCAAATCCAAAATGGCTGTACAGAAGTGCAGGGGTTCACCCGCGTGCAGGAGAAAGATGTCTTTACACAGTTTTCATCATTTACACCAATACAAAATAGATACAGAAGACTCTCAAACCAGACCTCTCCATGCATGGAGCAGATTCCACTGCCCAGTGTTTTGCATACATAAATGCATGTTATGTTTGCACTGACACAGATATCCAAGACCCTGGGATGATGTAAAGCCAGAGAAAATATCAGCAATGAATGCAATTTCCTAGGTGAAATCCATATACAATGGGTTCTTCTCCAGTGACTTTACTTGCATTTGTTTTCCCCATGGAGCTTGGCTCTCTGATGATCTCCATATGCCTCTATATATGCAACTGTCTGTATTCGCCAAGGTGGGCAGAAGGGCTTAAAGACTTTCCAAAAAAGTTCTCCAGAAAAAAAATTGTCCTTTAAAGTCCTGCTCTTCAGGAAGAGGGAAAGGGTCAGAGAGCAAATTACCAGCAGCATTGGGTAAATCTCTTGTTCCCAAAAAGGAATCGTTTCAGGGCAGCAGAGGTTTTTTTTGTGAAAGATCTCTTTTTAGGAGCATGACTGTGGGAGCAGATCAGAGATAATTGTCAGATGATTCTTGTTCCCCTTTTGTACAGTGTAATTTTCATTTTTTTTCCCATCAGCCATAAAGCTATGAGGAGCCATGTGAGCAGAGAAGCCATCTCATCAGACTGCACTAATAAATAACAATGCATTGCACTTCTATAGCACTTTCCATGTTAAAGAAGCAATTAATGCGTAGGGATTTGAATCTTCATTAGAATCGTTTTATGTAACAAAAATGGAGCGAGGGAGTCAGGATGGGGGACTCAATTAAAAGCACATTATAGAAATTGCGTATTGGCTGTTGGGGGAATACACATCAAACAACAGGCTCATTGTGAGAAGCAGCAATAGGGTTATGAATCTATTGTCTGCTCATCCTAATGAATAACTTGAGTGCTTAGTAACTGTGCAGCCAGATCCAGACCTGCCAGCATAACCCTCTTTGCTGTGATTGTTTTCATCACAGACAAACACAGGATGTTACGTGTATTGCTGTAGTAGTTTGATGTGCGACTTCATGAAAACAGTCAAAACAAGCCACACCTCTGCTGTCTGCAACCAGAAATTACTACAACCCATGTTTGTGACAGGTTCCAAGCAAAACAAGAGAGCTCGTACTGCATTTTGTTCTACTTCTCATTGCAGCATTCAGGTCAAAGAACTGAAGTGTGGCGAATCTACCCTACAAAATTTTTTTTAAAATTCTGTACGCTCATCCCTGTGCAGGCCAGGGCATATCCTTTGGGTTTTGCTCTGTGTTGAATTATAATCATGATATGCTCAAGGACTCCTTCCTGTGAACCAGAAGAGAGCTTGTCTGCCCTTCAGTTCACTCAGAGGGGAATAGGAAGATAGTAAAGGACTGTCAGAACTCAAGTGATTTAGTCTGCAGCCATATTTCAAATTGTTGTGTTACCAGAACAAATTAATGTACCACCAAAGCTCTGAACTTTACCCCAGCCTCAGGACTGAAGCACCACTGGACGTGGGCTGACAGGTTTTGTGGGTGGATGGATGGATGGATGTAAAGACAAAAGACTTGAATGCAAAACTCGGTCCTCTTGGCAGTGGAAACTTCCTCACTGCACAAATTACATTATTGCACTGTGCTTTCTCTGTAGCTGACAGCAAATGAGGTGCTTTAGCAGGCGTCACATGAAATGCATATTGCCTACGGAAAATGCAAAATGTGTGTTACATCTATTGAGGAGGGGACTCACCAGATTGTGAGGGTTCGCCAGATATGCTGTTAGACTCAGGTACTAATCTAACTACTGGAGTGGAACGTTACCCAGCCCTTTAACATCAGGCTGTGATGGTAATAAATAGAATTATCTAGATATATAAGTAAGGGAGCTAAATACTCCCCCAAACACCCAGCAAGGAGTTAGAGAAACCTCTGTCTTGCATCCCCTTGAAAGCTGACAGTGAGCTAGTTTTTTAAAGTCTAGTTACTAGAAAATAATGAGAGTACTTGTAAAAAGAGCCCGGGGAGTTGCAGTCTCAGAGGCTGCAAAGTCACTGAGACTTCAGAGATCTTCTAATAATGTAGCATCCACATTGACCCAAAAAATTACTTATTTACTAGCATTATTTCCTGCAGCTTCTTGGGTATCCACTAGCAGAATGAGGAATCATCTGGCCCTGTATTAGGCAAACCTTTTGTTTGTTAATCTGCCCAGCTCACTGCATGTAGCATGGCACTTGGCATTAGATACTGGTTCCAAAAAATACATGAGGAATCAATTACAACAGGAAATTGCTGCTAAATGAATTTTGCAAATGGAAAATCTTGAACAGCTGTTTTCTTAATTTTTTTTTTCTATTTTTAATGATACATTTTTAATTTTTCTTCCTCATTTTACAGGAAGCAAAGGGAGATTTTTCAAGGTAGGTGAACTTAAAAGTTTTCGCTGTTGTGTGCTGTGAGAATGAATCTGGTAAAATCACTATGTGAGCGATGCAACTCAAGTTGTAGCTGTGCAGCAACAGGAGTGCATTGCTAACGTAGACATCGTGTTTCCTGAAATCATTTCTTCACAAAACACAGCCTTTGACCAGAACATGCCTTGCAAACAGCATTGTTTGTGACTTTGTTGTTGACAAATCTCTTTATATGCCCATGAAGTTCAGGAAATAGACTAGTCTTCGGAAGGAAATTACTAAGGAAATGACTTGACAATCACTGTTATGTCACAGATCCAGCCAGAGGCAACATTAAAATTCCATCACTAATTGATATTTCAGCTTGAATTTGGACAGAGTTCTTGTAATCATACTGATTAGGAGAATGGTTGGTTTTGTTGAATTTCCGCTATCCCTTGAGCCAAATCTTCAGACTTGCTGTAAGAAATTCAAAGGGGTGACTGTGCTCGGTGTTTCAGGAGGCTGTTAATGAAATGCCCAAGAATTTTCATTTGACAGTCTCTGTCAGTTACGCGTTAGTAGCAACCAAAGGTCAGATGGCTGTTTGATTCCTCATGTGAGAAACATGAAAGTTCTTAATCTGAAGCCCAGGAGAATGTCTATGCTAAAAAATTCACATATTCCATATATTACTTTTGCTGACCTGAACGTGAGTTCAGCTGGAGGACCACAATATCCACTGAAGTTAGTTTCAGAGAAGAAAACAAAGTGTGAATGGGCAGTGAGGCTGAATTGCCAGATGAGCCTAAAGAGGTGTCTTAATTTTGTCAGCACTGAGATACACTGAGAGGAGACAGTAATGGTACTCTGTGCACCCATAGGAGGCTGTGAACAGCAGGCAGGTTCTGCCTTCTGGTGGATTGGGACTTCTAGCCAGCTAAAAATGAGGCAAATCAGTGAAAAGGAACAATGCATTGCAAATATTGCCTACCCGTCATGGAATCTGAGATGACATAAGGTAACCCTGCTAAAAGGAAGTTTAAGTTCTGCCTTATCATTTCTCAAAACCTTAATCAACTTGCAAAATCCTGACATGCATCTGACGACAGAAACGCAAGCCCAGTCTTGTTTCATTTTTTCAGTTCCACCCAATTTGGAATAACTCCGCTATCAGCAGTATTTATTTAGGGGGCACTGGAGTACAGGTGGTTCTTCTACTTTTCAGTCTGGTTTTCCACGCACTGCCAAATGCTCAGCCCAGAAGAGCTGGACCAAGCAGAGTTTTGCCATTCAAACCTGTGATAAACCACATCTTCCACTGGTTTTGCTATGAAGAACAATATTTAATGTTTCTCAGAATATCTTGGACATGACAAAAACACACTCAGAAAGTGTACATTCAGACTATGAAACACAGAATAGGAAGGAATCAGATTGCTCACGGTAATAGGACTGAAAGCATTTTATCTTCAAGTATCTGTTTCCAGATCAGAAGTGGAAACAGCCGGTGGAAAGCATCCATCTGCTAAAAGCCGTTTGATGTCCCTTGTGAAAGGAATAGTTGAGTTTATCACAGTGCATTTCTCTAGGCCACAGACAAATGAGGAATCTTCTCTGAGAGCACAGAAGATACCTCAACACATGGTGTTAACTGCTTCCTCCGCATCGATGTGGCAGTCATCGCCATCCCTATTAAAACAGTTAGCTCTTAGTCCTTTCCACCTGTGGATCACCATGGTTTGAAGTGGAAGGGCGAATCCTTACATCCAAGTCAGGCAGAGAAGTGGTGTCCTAATAACAACTTGCTGACACTGCCAGGGATCTTAATTTATAAATGGGCTTTGGTGGCAAAGCATCTGCCAAATTACTGGAGTTTAAAGCCTATTCTTGGAGGAAGGTAGAAGAATCCTACCCTGACCCTCTGTGGTCTAGGAGAAGACTTAGCATCTCCAGGAATGTCTGTCCAGCAGCTCCCCTCTAATGTGCACTGACATGGGTTTATGTGCTGGGTGAGCTCCAGGTGCTACTGAAGTCAAAATGAGGTCATTGTGGTCAAGATTTTGCCTGCTGAGATTTGTGGTTATTCGTATCAGCAGTGTAAAATCTGGGAGGCAAATCAAGCCTGGGGCCAGCCCAAGGAACTGCAGATGGAGACAAATGTTCTGACTTCTCTTAGGGCTGAAGTTAGCTTCAGTGTCTGAAGTTAGTCGATGTTGAAATGCTGTTTAAAATAGAAGTGGCTACTCTTTGAAAGAGAGAAGTTCTGCAGTTGTGAATGTCTTGCTGCTGAGATTTAAAGATAATGTGTTGTGCATGGTAGCATACATTGCGTGAAGGCTGAACTCTTGAACTCCTGCTTTTTTTTTTGAAGAAATAAGTTAATTCTAAAGGGTTGCGTGCTTGGAACGCAGACTCCAGATTTCCCACACCTGTCCTGTCTACTGCCACCATCAGATTTATAGCCTGTGAGACTACAAGTTTCTCTTTGGCCCTGATCCAGAAAAGTGCATAAGCACTGGCTCATTTGCAGCGATGAGAGAATTGCTGTTCCCCATGGGAGCCTTCCTATGAGGCGCTGCTGATCACCTCAGGTGCTGGGACAGCCAATGCCAAATTGTCACAATTTCACCTATGAGCTTACCTGCCCACGGTGACCAGAGCGTGATTACCTTCAAACCCCACTGCGCCCAGGAGGTGGATCACAAGGGTCTGGTTCAGGACTCCCAAATGCAGTTGCAAATCTGTTTTTTGGGCCTTATGGGAGCTCAAAAAACAGAACTGATCTTACAAACTCTAGCAGTCAGTTGTCTACCTCTGTGAACTGCTGCATCTACAATGACAGCAGCTCCCACTGCTGCTTTTGAGGAAATAATCCCATGCCTCAGAATAATAACTGTGCTCATAGTACTACTCTTTCCTTTCCCCAGAAGGGGCTTATGTGCCATTCCAAGCACATGTCCTATGTCCTTTGGTAGGGCATCACCATGTATGAGTCTCTTAGCGCTGTTTCTTGCCACCTTGGAGCACTGCTGAACTCAGGCATCGCAATGACTGCTCAGTGTTTGGCAAGCCTGGAGAGTACATAGTCTGAATCGCCCTTATCTGTCATGAACTAAGATGCCACAATAGCCCTGATAGATCAGTTTGGCATCTATAGTGAACAATTTGACTAAGGCCTTTTCCATTTCTAATGTGTGTTTCATCTCAAAAACAAGCCCATCAGAAACCCTGAGCTCCTGAACCCGTTTAGATCAACTACAAAAAATATTTCTCAGTGTTTGCGGTAAGTGGCCTGGTCCAACTCAGTGTTTTGCAAGCAGACTTGTACAAAGGGCACATCTCTTAGTTGATACAGACTTAGGCAGAGCGAGGTTTAAAATAAAAAGTTATTCTCCTTAAGAAGTTCCTAGTCCTCTGCATTAAAGGAGAATGGTTTTCACATCATTTAAAAGAATCCCCAAACGTTTCAGCTAACAAGACTGAAAAAAGTTTACATTTAGACTAGGACATACCACTGAATTTAGGACAATTGAGTATCCCTGTTCATCTAATTCTCAGGTTGAATAGGACACTTAAGATTTGAGCTGTGCTTTTTCATATTAGTTACAAAAGCTTTGACTTCAAAGGCACAGAATCATGTGTATAAAGCTCCTAAACTAGTATCCTGCAGACAGATGTAAAGGTTATTAACTCAAGCTAATCTTATTACTAGTAGGAAGCTCAGTCACACTTGGTTGGCAGAGCATGGGCAGGACAAATTTCAGTTCCTTAGGTGAACACAAGTCCTAGAGGTGTGACCCTCTTTAGGCCTACATAGAGGAAGGAACCAGAGTGCCCTGGCTTATTTTGGAGGAGCATCACATATTGTTAAAATAGTTGAGATTTTTCCCTCTAAACTTATCCGACTGGGTTTAGAGTCCAGTCTGACATTGACCAAAATCTTTGGGAAACTCACACCAACCTCGGTTTTAAATGTTCAGAATCCAGCTCTTCAACCTTAAACAGCATCTATGTCAAAGCAGCTGGAAACAACATATACTGATCATTTCTCCCTCAGTTTGGGGAGGGGAAGGAAAAAACCCTAAGGAAAACAAAATCCTGAACCGTTGCAGCTAGTTCCTCAGACAGGCTCTCATTGCTAGATTTCTTCCAGTTAAGCAATATGAGACATTTCGAGTGAACTCCAAGTATCTCCCAGCAACATATGAAAGAATAACAAGGGAGGAAAGCAAACGGCCAGTTTCCTGTTAAGCAGAATTTCACAATAATTTCAACGTTTGAGCAGATGGTAATCTAACATAGTTTCAGGCTTACTCTTCTTTCTGTGTAACCAAGTGACATTTAACCAATTAGAATTTATTAAGGGGTTACAAAACCCAGGCTGCATTCTTGCAACCTTATGGAGAAAATCCTAAACACTGTATGTACCGTTCTGAGAATCCGAGAATCTCAGACTCTGCATTTCCTCTTGCGTTCAACAGAATGAATTACGACGCTGAGAAGAGTTGGTAACTTTAACCTGCACTTTAGTTTCATGACTGATCATTGTTATTACACATGCTGGAAAATGTATGGATTTCCTGAAACAACTGCATATGTAATCTTGCTCAAAATTATTGCAGCCAGTTTGCAAAAACTTGGTTTTCACAAAATGCTTGTGAAGTGGTTAGCTAGGCCTTTCACCCCCATGTGTAGACAGAAATACTGAGATGTGGTGACTAATTTATTTGGCCAAGACTCATTAAACACGCAGGACCAGAACTAAGACCAGAACTCAGGAGTTCTGTTGTCTAGGTCCATTCTCCAGTCATTCGACTTTATTTCTAACCAGCTTGCAAGATGCCATGCAGGTGGCTTTTCCAGTTCAGTTTTCATACTGTTATTCAAGTCTTAAATACTGTAATTTCCACCATAGTGCAGGAATGAAGTGGTCTGGAGGACACAGAGAAAGTGTGGAGCCCTTGCCCTATATATTAATAAATCTATATCAAAAGCACCCTTCCATATATAACAACACTGGAAGTTGGACACTTTTGAATATAAAATAAATGTAGCAGAAGTGACCGGATTAAACAAACACTTTCTAAACACAGTAATAAAATAAACACTCTGAGATATTTCACTAGAAAGAGTGGGAAAGGCAGTAAGTACAAAACCACTTGTGATCCTGCTGGAAACATTTTAAAAATTAAGGGTTTTGGTGTTTTAAAAGGAGCCAAGAGGAAAGTGACCTCATGGCCACTAGTTCAAATGGAACCTGAGTCATTATTTTTTTTCCTTTTTCTTGATTTGACGTCCTTTTGGGAGTCTAAATTCATTTGTCTTGAGACGAGTCTTGCCAGAAGACTTAGGGAATGTATGGGCCACGGAATGAAATACCTTTTTGGTCCTGGAAGTGATTACCTGAAATACATTTGGCACTTTGAAGTTGTGAGGCACTACCTTTATGGTGTTTTCTAGGTATTGAGCAGAAATGCTAATCCCATCCAACAGCATCACTAAGAATGTCTTTTTCTCTGATTCTTAGAAGACCTTTTATCGCAGTGCAAGCAAGCTTTGCTCCTTACTGACAGAAAAGACAGAGCTGACTGGTGTTAGCCCTTTCTTTTATGGGAGCCATTACTGATTCAGGCTTTTTCCCAGACTCTCAAAGATAGTTAGTCACCACTGATCTTGCCCTATCTGAAAGTTTTCTGGGCTCAGAAAGTCCCTGTTTGGAAATTACTCCCTGTCTTCCCAGAAAAGTTTTGGAAATCTCTCAGCTTTCTTCTATGAACAGTCAGCATCGAAAAATCTTCACTTGAGGGCAGTGACTGCTGCTTGTGCTCCGATTGTGTTGGGTTCTATTTTTTTTTTCCTAGTTTCTTTCAAGATGTCAAAAAACTCAGTAAGAGCAGAGTATGCACATGCTGTGGAAGAGGCATCTCCAGGCAGACCCAGTAAACTCCGTAAACAGCAACAGCTCGTTTTCTAGGCTGTCAGTCGCAGAGCAGGGCGGCCAGATCAGCAGATAACACGGAACAGAGCAGTTTCTTGTTCAGACTTGTTCAGATATTTACCTGCCATGGAAGAAAAAATCTGAATAGTTTTTGAGCATTTGCACTTACAAAGGCAGATCTATCTGATGGTGAAATGACCATGAGATTTAGGCAGGAGCGGGTGTTCAAACACTGTTTGTCAGGAGTCATTTTACTTGGCATATGAGGTGCTACTGAGTGGTTTTCTATGTGCTTAGCATCAAGTGGTTGCCTTAGTCATTTCTCAAAAGCGCTGTTCTACGCATCTTCACTCTGCAAAATTTGAACCTAATTGAGACGTGGGCATCTCTGTCACAGATTTGTCTTGACTAGAAGTTGTGGTCCTGTTTTAAAACTACTTAATTGATTGTCAGCGAACTACCATGATAATAAATGCCTGTAGACATACCCAAAATGCCTGCTCCAGGATTTATGTTAGTGGTTTACCCTATGGCTCAACCTAGCAATTAACCCGCAAGCTCCAATTAAGACAAACCCACCTAGGTCTCAGGCAGAGCCTGCTGCTGGGATGTGCAAACGGAGAAATGCTGTGGCAAGATTTTTATGACAACTGAAGCGGTATCATGTCTCTACAAGCCACCATACAGACTGTCGCAGAGACAAGACCAAAACTCAGGGTGACCTGGCACGTCCAAGGGCTCCTTGGGCCTTTAGCAAATGTTAGGATGGCTGGTCTACAGCTGGGGATGCCAAGACTACCTGTCTGCCTGGTTAATGGCCCTGCTGCCCTACAGGAGAAGCCAGTGGGCTGGGAAATCTGGAGCTCTGGAAGAGGTATCTCTCTCCACAGCTCCAGGACAGCCACACTTCTTGGCAGGATAAAGGGCAGGGTACAAGAAGGCAGGAAAAAACTGCTATTAGGAAGTAAACCAATAAACGTTAATGTTTTGGCATGCTTCGGTGTCTTGTCTGGCCCTCTTGGCTGTATATTTCTACTATTTTAAAAGTAACAGCAACACTGTCTTCTTTCCCAAGCCTTTGAGGGATTTTTTTTTTCATGTGCACACAATTCCTTGTGTGTTTAAAAGTGGGAAGAGAGGCATTTTGGGTTTGTAGGAGAAAATCCCATGGTATAATTTTACCTGCGAGAATCTGTCTTCTGTTTCATGAGCTCTCCTTGCTCTCTGGTGTGCAGTGATGCTGCACCAGCTGGCCAGTGTGGCCACTAGAGGTTGCAGGGAGGAGAATGTTATCCAAGTGCTTGGGCCTGGTCCTACGGAGGGTTTTGTGTAGCAGGACATAAAGTCAAGCTGGAGTCTTTTCAGTGAAGATGTTGTGCAAAGGCCAGGTCTTTGGGACAAGAGGCTAAGAACAACCTGTGATGCTAAGAAAGCAAATCATTACTTCTTGCAGCAGGTTGTAAGGCATTAAATAAAGGTTCTTTATTGCAGCTGAAAGCGTCACTTTTTCTTCTCTTCCCCTTGTTTTTTTCTCTGTATGAACATGTCCGTGGGACCCTGCTCAATGAAATGTGACATGATGGCTTTTGTGTCCAGTCACTGGTAGGAAGTGCTTCAACATAACCATCTGGGAGAGCTTCTCTCCAATTTTGATAATAGAGGGAAAAGTTAACTGGGCTGCCATAAAACAAATAAAGAGAGAAGAAAAAGGAAACCCCTGTGCCTTTTGTTAAGGAGGAACAGATGTAGAGCCGTAGCAGCCTGCCAGCTAGGTCAGGTCATATCAAATATTGTGATTGTTTTCTTGTAGCCTGATCCTCCTTTTGAACTCTCTTTCAGCAATGAAGTTGTAAGGAATGAATTAAAGAAGCTGCCAGCCCTTCCAACACCAGCGCTGAAGGAGCATCCTTCCCTCGCTTACTGGTAACGTATCATTCTGCTGAGCAGCTTTGCAGTATCTTATGCAGGACCTGGTGATCAGAGAGCAGAACTGGGATGCAGAGATTCCTGCCTTGTAGCTCTGGGTCTGCCACTGACTCATTGCATGATTCAGCACAAGTAGAGCTACCACCCAGGGCCTCAGTTTCCACGGCTGCAGTAATATCTGGCCAGAAAATTCACTGTAAATGTGCAAGCCTCCTGATGAAATCAAGAAGCCTAATGGGCCATTTCCTTTCCCAGTACTTTGCATCTGTGCAAAGTTTTCCCAGTCTGAAATGTCAATGTTTTGCACTGCTCTGTGTTATTTTTGAGTGATTGATCTTCATCTTGTAAGTCCTCCCTGTACGGCATAGCTGAACTAAAAGGGATGTATTTCTCCTTTTATATGAACTAGGTGATGTTCAGAGGTGGAGGCTTGTGAGCTCTGTCTTTATTGCACTGAAAATTAAATCCAGGGTAGGAGCAGGGTCAGAAATAAATTTTGTATGCCCCACACATAGATTCCTTGTGCCACCCTGCCTATCCCTTTTATCTGCACAAATAGGAAAGAATTTGGGGAAAGGCTGTTCATTAATGGGGAGATGCTTTCACTTGATTTTTGTTTGTTCGTCTTTCATGTTTATAAAGCATTAGGCTTTTTAAAGTCTTTAAAGCATTAGGCTGTAAGCCTGGGGGTGGGAGTGAACTTCTTTATCTGCTACTTTTTTAATTTCGGCATCTTGGTAATCTGAGGATGGCACGGGGAAACAAATCAGTTTGTGGTTTATGATCTCAGTTCTTCCCTTTGCCAGGAAGGCCATCCACTTTTCCTAGCATGGCTACAACACCAGAATTAGTTGTAGCTAGCGTCAAGCCATAGGCACGCTAGTCTGTGAGGTCTCCTAATCACTTTCTGAATGCATCAGGAGAGACTCAAAGTCCCAGGCTGAGGTTAGGAACACTTACACAAAAGCTGTGGATCATCACAGTCTCCTGATCTTTCTGTCTAAAAATCAAACCAAATCTTTGTGAAAATTTGATAAATGTAGGCTGCCATTTCACTGGAAGCAGAATGGTCTCCCTGTTTGGAGCATCTCCTTCCTTTTTGCACAAATTCATCCACACATTTAAAAAAAGTCCATTTCCAGCCAGGTCGGTGGCCTGGTCTGACAGACAAACTTGTAGCTCAAGCTAAAAGCCACCACGAGAGGAGTGGTGGGAACAAGTCGCCACGGGCAGGGAAGGCAAATCTGACCCTTCGTCAGCAACATGGACTGAGGTTTATTAAAGTGCTCACATGGCCTTTGCTTCAGTTGCCTGTGATGGTATCCATACACAGGAAAGCAGAGAGAACCCAGGCTGCCTGTCAGGCCCCTTCTGCCCACCAGGATCTGTCTGCCCCCACGGTCGGCAAGTGTTAGTCAACATGCCTATGCTAAGGGCTTCTGCTGGGAAATCTCAGTGAGGTCTGGGACCACCTCTGTCCGTAAGACACTCTCCCTGGGTTTGGGCTATGGGCAGTCACCTGAAGCAAGAAGAGCCATGTACAAACCTCATGCTCAGAACACAAGTATTTACAGTTGTACACAAGGTACAACACTTTTTGCAGCTGTACTCACTTTGTGGGAGTTCTCATGTGACTGAGAACAGGTTGCACGTTGGGAAGCTGGTTGTTTCCAGTGGGGTAATAAAACCAGTGGCTACAGTCCTGTGACTCCCTTGTGATTTCACTTCAGTAAGGAGGTCTCAGAGACCTCTTACACATCAGTAGTTCATTATTTTTTAATGGTGGCTTTTTCATAAACACCCCCTGAAACGCTGAATGCTCTCAAGAAGAGGCTCCTGGTGAATCAGATGAAAAGCCTCTGAAGTACAGACCAAACTTCAGTGATCTAAGAGGGCAGATTTTTAAAACTGTGGTTTTTGACACTTCTGCATCTCATGCAGATTACATACTGGATATAAATTTCATCCTGTTCTTCTCTGTGTGCAATCAGTTTTATGCTGCAGTTCTTCAGCACTAGCACGCAGCAATAACAAGTGAATTTCCAGCTCTGGAAAGAAACATTTAAAACATTAGGGGTAGGATGGGTAATTGCTCTAGTTAGTTTAAATCAAACAAACAAAAGAAACCTATACTACATTCGTATAAGCTGAAATGGACTAAGAGGCAATAGAATGGATAATCAAGCAAATACTATGATGACTTCAGCAAGATATCATGATAGATCTGCATGAAATAATATAACATTTCCATCACACACCACGAAAAAGCATTACCTGTTGCTCCTGTCAAACGTAGTAAGATGACTGGGATGAGTCCTGGATTCTCAGATACAGCGAGGGCTGAATTAGCACAGTTTGGTGCCTCCGGCTCCACCTTCATGGAGTCTCCTGGTTGCATACCCTTGCTGCAGGCCTTTCCCTTCACTGTAACCTCTTCTTGGAGGTTTGCAGACATCACAACAAAGATGAAGGTTGTAGTTTTTATATCATCAAGTTTTTGTTTTCAGCTCTCTACAGATTAAGAAGAATCAGTTGCACATGTTGTTCTCAAGCATCTCTTAGCATCACTGATTACTGGTGAAGCAAGAAGGAGTTTTGGGGGTTTTTTTGGTTTTGTTTTAAATGAAAGCTGAGCTTCTGGTCCTCCCACACAGTCCAGGAACTGGGGCCCTGAGTTTTGATTTCTCTTGCCCATGCATGGAAACAACTGACAGTATTTATTATTTTAGACACAAAACTAATCACAATGAGACAGGAGACAACCTGTGTTAGTTCACAGCACTCCTTTCCAGCCATTGTCATTGCATTTTATCTCAATTCAGATCCTTCCCAGCAAGCCAGCCCAGTACTAGGTTGTCAGTAAGAAGGCAAGGAGATATAACAGCACAAAAGTGAGTGTTAGAATGGGATTTTGAACTGACCGGGTTCCAACAGACTTTAAATGCAAGCTTGTTTTTAGCAACCTAAAGCATCAGCATTGCCAGAAAATTCACCTCTGAAAATATCAGCTGAAAATCACTATTTAGTTTCTCTAATACAACACAGACCTGAGGCTCTGATCCTGTTCTTGGTCCCTTTGGCCCAAGAGATGCTCTGCTGGCTTCAGTGGGACAGCATATGACTGCAAATAAAGATGTTAGTATGTTTGACAATATAATCAAGATAGACAAAGGTTAGAAACAGAACAACAGAAAGGCACAGCAATGCGTGGACAGCTATTTGAAACAGCTCAGCGTGCTGGGAAGAGAAGGGGGAAACAATTACCTTTGAAAATCTGGATGTGATGATGAGAAACTCTGGCCCTACATTTGCTTGCAAGTTGTCTGCCATCCAGTTCTGTAAGCTGCTGGGACAGGGGGGATTTCTTGGTAGTTCTAAAGATCTTTATCAGAGTTGTCTGCTGCAGGATATCATCCATGTACTAATCTTTGCAGCTTCGGGGGGAATGTTTTATGAGCTGGCAAACAGACGGTAGTGCTTCGGCAGCCTCCGTGTCTCCACATTAGTTAAGCATCCTCTGTTGGCCCTGCGTTATGAATGAGTTTCTATGTCACTGACACAGCAACAAGCCAGAGGAGGGGGAGAGGAGACGTCAGCTGGTGGTCCAGGCAGTGTCCCAGCACTCTCCCAGCTGTCAATAGCAGCATGGCAGCCGCTCAGAGATGAACAGCTGAAATGATAGGGGAGAACGTTTATAAGCTCTGCTAATGCTCCTTCTGACCCCTGAATGATTTCGCTTGTTTTCCCTGGCACATGCTGGACTTACCCCTCTGTCCCAGAGCTGGAGGGAGAAAGTGACCTCTGTGCTGAATGATACTTCTTGCGCAGGGAATGAAAAGGAAGTTCAAAGAACTGTTAGAGAAGCGACTGTCACACAGCTGGGGTGGGATTCACCCCACCATGAACATCTCTTCAGCGTAGACCTCTCCATCTGAGCTAGGTGCCCTCAGCTCCCTTTGCTGTCAGGATGAATTGTGCTCCAGAGTATCTGTTTCTTTCCCCAAAGTGTGACTAGCTCAGTGTTGTAGAAAGGTGAAAGGCAGCAAATCCTACTCTTAAATATTCATGGCTCAACTGATAATTCAGTCTTTGTTTTTTTTGTCCAAAAGTAGAAACAAGGATGATACTTACCTGGCACTTAACATCTGTAGACCTCAAAACATTATACAATGGAAAGGAAGATCATCAGTGTCCTAATGAGGCAAAGGAGGTACAGAGAGTGCTGTCTGCATTTGTTTAGGAGAACTGGGTAGAGCCTGGACTATCCCACATCTTTTAGTACAGGTTGAGAACATAACTTTATTCATCCCACTGTTCAGGAAGGCTCCCTGACATCTAATCTGTCCTTTTGAAAGAAATGGGCCATCGATTGGCTTCACTACCGAAGGGGTATGGTCTAGGAACATATCCATTATTTTATAATAATCATTTGTAAGAAAACAGAGCACATCCAGAATCACATTAGGTAATCATCCTGTAGGTACAGCTATCCTTTCCTTGAATTCATCAATATGAGAGCTTGATCTGTACAATAAACTGCACAGAGTGGATACCAAAGCTAAGAGCATTTTCCACTGGAGAAACTCCATTGTTTTCTGAGAAGTCACTCCTGGTTTGTTCCTATCTGAGACCGAGAGGAATTGCATCCACATGTAATCGTTGTTTTAAGAGGTAATTTCAAAGGGCTGTAAGCCTTCTCTGCCTATCTTTTTTATTAAGAATGATGGGTTTTGGAGATCTTCCAGTACTGAACACTCATGTAATTCAGTTATTGCTCCAAAAGTAACCCTGTTTATGATAATCACGGCAGGAGACCCGGGCTCTGCCTTCATGTGCACACCCATAACATCTGTGGTACTTGCTTGGATCAGTGGGCTGGATATGGTTTCATAGCTGTTGAATTTCTAGCTTACAGATCATTTTCTAAGCATTAAAATTATTCTGAGGGATTTGATGGCAAAGCTGGACCATTCCTTTACCCACGTAATTTGTCACTGACTCGGCACCCTGTACCCGTGGTGGTGTGCTGGTGGGACATCACTTCACCTTGCCCCAGTAAGAGCCCTTTTATTTTCGCAAGTGACTTTCAGGGGAAGTCACTTGGCGAGTGAGTAAGGATAGCAGTTACTCTCAGACAAATGACAGGCTTGTGGGGGAACAGCTGACCCTGCTGACGGTCCAACAGACTGCACTTTGAATTGTTCTGTGCTGTCTACACTGGTGTTTCTGGTCCTCTCCCTTCCTCCCTGCATTACCAGGGATGCATGTACAGTCCTCAGCTCCCCTGTGCCAGGCCCCACGCCCCATCTGTGCACAGCACGTCTTGTTTGTCATGCCACAGTGCAGTTTGTCCTCCTTGTGATGTCACAGAGCAGAACGTCCTGTGTGTGATGTCACAGCAGGCTCTGTGGCCTCTACCTGTGACATCACCGAGGCCATTATGAAGGCTGTGCCCAGCAGGGACAGGGGAACTTCTTTCTAAAAGAGATTCTGGCTCACGCAGATCTCTCTGGCACAAGGATGCGTACGGGGAAGGCAGCAATGAGAAGACACAGTCGTGTTAGCAGGGCTAGTGAAATGCTTTGCAGTTTTCCACAGAAGTCCCTGTGGGCATCTCTGAGCAGTTGCGGTGAGGTCATCTATGAGACCATCCCACACTGCTGTGCTCCTTCACGCTGTCTAGCAATAAAAATAGCTTCAGTTCTGCCTGGGGAAGGATTACTGCATGGTGGACAACTCTGTGGCTGCCTTTAAAGGCCCCATTAGGGGCCCCAGCTGGACCTAAGAAATGCAGGGAGGGAGAAATGCCAGTTCACACTGCCCTAAACCGCATGCAGCATGATGGCATTAGATTAGATAGACACTTGGTACTACTGGAAGCTTATGCAGTGCCAGGTGGGGAGGGCACAAAGGTGGCATAAAGGTAGTTTAGGTTTCCTTCCTCTTCGCCTGGCAAGGTCTGTACGGTATCTCGAGGGGACTCAATAGATTCCTTATCCTTGGTGTTGCAACATAAAGAGCAAGAAATGGGGTTTAAACCTGAGGGCTTGAGTATTCTGTCATGCCAATGTAACAGAGCTGGTCCTGTGGGCATTACATTGCTGGAAGTTAGAGAAGAACCAAAGTCAGACCAGTCTGAAAGTACCAGGCTTGGAGGCTGTGATGACTTGCATGGCTGTAGATTGAGAGGAATGCTATTGAAATCAAAGGAGAGCACTGTGAACCTTTGAAAGGAGATCATTGGCTTCTACTTTGCCATGCTGCGACCTTGCTAGCACAGTTGATGATTGTATGCATCAAATAGCTCTGGTTTTGTGCTCTCCTGCTACCCATTCACTGGAGAAAAAGGAATGAGATTCTTTAAAAGTGAACTTATACATGTCTCTCAGTCTGTCATTTGGGTCATGCTGATCTGCTCTTGGATGCTACCTCTCTACCATGGATAGATGAATGTCTCAACATGCATTTATCAACTACACCCAGAACTGTTCTCTGATACAGAGGTCCACTGGTGTGGAACAAAGTCCGTCTATACCATGAAACTGTCTTAGTCTCCAGAGCAGTGTTGGGAATGGGCCCTGGCCCATGCTAACTCCCAGCGCATAGCCAGGAGTTGCCTGGGGGAATGCAAGTTAGCGTAACCCAAAAGTATGCAAAGGCACATCAGTACTTTAGCAGTAAAGGGACCCAAGTTTGAGTGCCTTGGAAACATTCTCTGCCACTGTTTAACCTGCTGTTAGAGACATCGCCTCTGTGTACACTAGGAATTTAACTCCTTGCTGAGAGAAATTTCTCCAGAGTACTGTACTTCCACTAGTGCTGCTGTACATGGTTTTGTGCAGTTGCAGTGAGGAGTAACCTGTGAGGCTTAAGGCTATTACTGGCCACCAATTTCTGAAAGCTTTGCTAGCTTTCAGAGAACTCAGTGGGCTTGGAAAGAAGTTGCACCAGCTAGGGCAAAGCAGAGCTTGAGCAGCTCCAACACACATCTGTGTGCCACACGATGTAATACCGTGGGCATCATTTGTAGATAAGGAAAGTAATGCAGAGAGGGGAACGTCTGTACACATAGATACCACGTTAGTGAGTAAAAAAGGTTATTCCAGAAAGCCAGCTCCCAGAAAACTATTTTTATTCTCAGTCTGTGAGTCCCCTTGTTCACCCTGGGCTGCATCAAATTCCCTCATCTAACACTTTTGCTTGGCATCTCTTGATTCCCTCAGTCGGTAGCTGTGTTAACAGAAGTATCTCCACCTTTTGGCAGGATTCTTAGTCATGATGTTGCCATTATATAAAACATCTAATTTCTTCCTTTCCAGTGAGGATCGAGTCATTGAACATTACAAGAAACTAAATGGTCAGACAAGAGGTCAAGCAATTGTGAAGTAAGTGGAATAAGAGAGACTTCTTGTGACCTTTGTTTTATCAATAAATATTTATACTGAACTGTAAATACAATATGTAACTATGTCTCCCATCTCATCTAATGCTTTATTTTTAAGTATTTCTGTACTTAATTAATTATTTATTTAAGCATTTTCCCCCAGATAATCTTCTCAGCTTCTCAGACTTGTTATTCTCTTATGTATTGTTTTGCAGTTACATGAGCATTGTAGAATCCCTCCCAACATACGGAGTACATTATTACGCAGTAAAGGTACGTGCTATAAAAAAGGGGCATTTATTGAATTCAACTGTTGTTGGAGAGGGAAGGAGAGAGGTACAAATAACCATCCTGCTTTCAGAATACAATACACTGCTACTAAAGTCTTGTTTCACTTCCTGTGGTAGGATAAACTTATTTCAACTGTATAGCAAATGTTTTGTAAATACAGCTCCGAAGAGGAAAATCCTGTTCTTGGAGATAAAACTCTTCAAGTCCTATTGTGCTGGAGATGTTCAGCCCACAAGCAGCAGCAAGCTCTGGTGATGCCAGTGAACCAGCACCAAAGGGACAAGCCAGCCACATCGCTGGCGGACTCAATGCTTCACTCCTTTTTGTAATTCCAGGAGGTCAGACTTTTCCCAGCCAGCAGATCCATGAGCAACTAACTAGGGCCATGACCTGCAGACTGCAACTCCCTTCATTTGAGATATAGGTAGATGGATACAGATATAGTACATCTTTTCAATGCCAAATCATTGTCCCATACTCTAGAGATAACACATCCCCCTCCCCAAACAGCTCTCCACTTCTGACTATGTGGATTTCATTCAAGTATTCATGAAATCCCTCATTTCTTTTGTCTAACGATTTATCACCAGATCTTCCAGTCTCATATTATGATTATTACTTCCCTGCCTGACCAGCTGTGTAGGGTTGTTATTTTTTTTAAGTCGAGAAATCAATAAACATATAAGGAAAGCTAGATTCACACTCCCCAGAGCATATTCCCTCATTTATCACCCCTGAAGTTTTGATGTGTTTCATCATTATCTCTCTGCACAGATCATATGGTTTTTCATACATCTATAATGTCTTGTACACATGGGGTACCATAAAAACACAAATACCTGACAGTACCTGTCTCAGGGAGATGCGTTTCTAGTCTATTCCTGCTAATGTGCATGGCATTTTGCAAAAAACATTAGCCGCATCCTTTGCCAGAGGGCAGGATCCCTTCAGCACCCTTTGCATCCAGATCTCTTGGACTGCTCTTGACCAAGAGTCTAGAGGGATTGGGCTGGGCGTTCAAACCTGCAAACACTTGAGAGCTATTCCAGTGCACTCCCCATGATCAATAAGTACCAGTGAGCAGCAACGAGGCAGCAAACATTGCACATAATAGGTTTTGCTTCTGCCTGATGTGGGGGTTTGGGTTTTGCTGCATTTTACCCTGCCGTTCTCTATCACATTAACAGAACAGATGTAATTTCATTGAGGACTCCAGTTCAGTAAATTGCAAAGAGACTGGTATCAGATATCAGCCATTACTCCATAAGGCCATTTTATTGCACACTCAGACACAAAGCAGTTGGGTCCGAGCCTGTCAGACCTTATCACTTGGTAGCTCTCAGATCCCATTACCGCTGCATTTTCAAGATTAATGCTAAAATCCCTCCACATAATTCAAGTCAGCTGAGTGATTCGCTTTCCTTCCTCTCCAGTCTCTGAGTGTTCAGACTGAATAACTTGCAGGGAAGAGAAAGGGGATGCACCACTGCACAAGGGACCCATGTCAAACCTCCCCACCTCCCTTGGCAGCATTTTGAGTAACTTGATCACAGGTGATGCGTTTGAAATGGTTTTATATGTCATAGCTAAAAGCGAAACAGATCTCTCCTAAACACCACGTGGCTTTGTGACTTGAGGAAATTTAACAGCACCCATGACATTCAGAGATATTGCTTAGAAACAAATCTGCACCTTGAATAACAAGCTAGGAAATCTCCAGCATTTCCCCATCCCATTCAATATAACTCCCTCTCTTTTTTCTTCCAGGACAAGCAGGGAATTCCTTGGTGGTTAGGACTTAGCTACAAGGGGATTTTTCAATATGACTACCATGACAAAGTGAAACCAAGAAAGGTAAGTGTTTACTTTTCTACCAAGGTCTGGACTTGCCACACATGTTATAGCTTGATTTGAGGGTGTGATGTATGCCAAATGCTGGCATTGATTCATGTGATTTTGAAGGATGTTGTTTCTCCCAAACTTGTCTGAATATCTGCAAGGAATTAATGGACAAAAGTAGCTCTTCATTTATTAAATGTTGTGGTACGGGGGGGAAATAAGCGCCACTTAATCTTGTAACTTACACTTCTGTTTTGCATGGTTCATAAGACATAAATGGGAACTGAAGGGCTGATCCTCTCAGGTGCTGGAGATCTTCCATCCCCACTGACTATGGCGGGATTGAGGGTGCTCAGCCAACCCTTGATACTGTATTGTCAAGCCACAAATGATCTGAGAGAGAGAGGAAAGAAGGGACAGGGAAGCTTCTTCCATTTATTACAAAATGAAAAGATTGCATGGTTTTCCCAGGAGCAGCATTACATTTGATAAGCAATGATTTTACTGACTGAAGAGTTCATGTCAAGCTAACAAGAAAAGAAGACTTTCATCACATGCCAGAAAAAAAAAAAGGCATTAAAAAGTTTGTGCCCAGTATCTGATTTGTTTAGGAACTTTACTTTGAAACAGTTCACAAATCAAGGCATGGCATGCATAGATCTGATCACAAAACTAGAGCTCGGTCAGTGATGACTAGCCATTCTGGTCTCTTTATTACTATTTTTAGTGAGGCTTTCAGTGCATCTGAAAACTGGGATTTGTCTCAGCCCTTCCAAATTGCCTTTGAGAAATGCAGCTAAGGAATGTTCTGTTTGTTTGGGAGGAGGAAGGTTCTGATCCCCTGAGCTCATCCTACGAGGCAGACCCATGTGTTCTGATTTTCCTACCTAGGGTGCCATCTAATACAAAAAAGCTCATCTCTGAGCACATGCCCTGCAGGTGGGCACACACAGTCTGTTAGCAACAGTATTTGTTGTACTGCAAACCCATGGAGACACCAGGAGGCAAGGTTTCAGGCTTGCGTGCAGGCTGCAGAACTGGATGATTTGGAGCAACTAGGCAGCTCTTCTATGGATGCAAATACTTCCACGCTAAATTAACATACTGCATTTCTCTTCACATTTTCTTTTTCTCATTTTGTCTCTGTGCCAAGCCCCCCCCCACTCCCTTTCGTTCACCTCCTCTGATCACATTCAAGTTGGACACTGTCGGGTGCTCACAGATAGCATCTTCTCTTAAACTAGAATCAAGGTTTTGATAGAAAACAGAACTGCTAAGGAGGCAGCAGGAGATAATAGGTGCATCAATTAGCCTTTTATTCACTGAAGGCTATTAATGGGGCTTTTTATTCATTGAAGAAATGGATGAGGGGAGTAGGGGGGTCTTCACATAGCATCTGTGCTCTAAAAGATGTATCTGTTTGGGATCAATCATTACCTGCAGGGCAAGCCATACTCACATGTGATAGTTTAAAACATGCCTAGGCTAGGTGTTTGCACCCACATACCTCCATTAGTGCCAACCCCCCAGGGAAGACATGTCCTTAAAACATGCCTTCAGAAGTCAGCCTTAGTGATAGCAACATTTCTTTGGAGGAAAACAGTGCCCTGCCATGACAAGGACTCAGCCATTCACAAGCTATCGCAATTTTTATCAACCCTGATGGGATGAGAGTGTTGGTGGAGAGCATCAGAAGAAAGAAAAAAGAGGTCGGGTAATCTGACTGCGTGAGAGGAGACAGCCGTTTCCGCTAGAAGAGTCAAGCCTCCTTTCTTAGCTTCTCTACTTTTCTTCTCAGCCGCTCAGGGTGATCCGGTCTGTAGCATTCATTCTAGAGCTTGATAACATCTTGGCACGCCTCTCCGTGTCCCCACTAACCTACCTCTAGCTCTCACGTAGCCCCTAGACTCAGGGACTGTAAGCATATCCCACCCTTTTTCTGCAAATGTAACTCTAAAAAATAGGGTGCTGGTTTTCTCTTTATTAGGAATTACTATTTTTTTCTCTCAGCAAGTTATGTACAAAATCCCGAAGACCCAAAACAATGGTGCCGCCTTATGTATAAACCACTGAGGACTTCTGTGGCTTAGCAGAGGCGGTCATAAATCTGGGAGGGAAGGTTGGGTGGGAAGGGAGAGCAGGAATTTCCGGGCTAGAATTTGTCCATTGCCATAATCCAGAGACCACAGCAGTGAAAAGACAGCCTAGATGAGCATTTCTCTGTTACATGATGCTTGCAAACCCCATCTGTTGGCAAGGCTATTCCAAAATGCACAACCTCAATCAGGGACAGGACTTGGATAGAGTGGCTGAGGCTTCATTATTTCGCCATCGTGTGCTTTTATGCTCTGTAGAGCAAGTAAAAAGGCTTCTTACCCTACACAGGTGGTAAAACCCCTCTGGCAAGAGCAGCCCAACACCCTCAGCGAGGTGCAATATTTAATCCTCTGCTAATTAGATTGTAAAATTGCACTTGATAACCCTGGTATCTGGGAGCTTACCATAGTATCTGATTCATTTCACTATACCAGCATTGGCTGGTTCAAGTCCTTGCTGTGCAAAGGGGAGGGGTAAACCTTACTGAACTTTCTGCAAGGTAAAATTGGAGGGGGGCGGGGGGGGGTGTGTGGAGATTATGTCTTCTCTGATCTTTATTATTTTGTTCCTGCACATTGCCAATGCCAGAAACAAATTGAAAAATTACAATGGAAAAATAAATCTCCCTGGAAGAAACACAAGCAGAAAATTGTAGCAAGAAACCAGCTGAAACCAAGACATTTATATTAAATGCATATAAAAACCTTGCTTGTCTTATAAGAGAGATTGTAATGTTTTCCTATTATGTCATCCTAGATAGATTTCCATGCTTATTGTGTTTGCAAGTAAAACTGTAACCCACACTAAGCAGCTGAGCCTATCTCAGGCGATCCCATTAGCAGTCAGTCAAAACCATGTTTTTATTAAATTGCTGGAGTAAATCAGCCATGTGTCTCTAGAAAACTAACTAGGTTTGTCAGCAAATTGGATGAGTCCAGAGAGGAGAATTGAGGCTGACGCAGGGCCAGAACCTGATCTTGCTTGCGCTGTTCTCACTCAGGCATAAGTCCTCCAGCATTACTGGGGATGCAACCGAGATGGGTATCTGGCACCTAGTCCGAGGTGGTCAGGCGGGAATGCAGGGCTATTAAACTGGAATGCAGCTTGCACTGGGCTGCGGAGCCTAATGTGACTCCACGCTTCTATTTTTATGGTCCCTCCTGCCAATGCTTGAATTCTGTGGAAGCCCTGAAGCTACCCAAAGCCATCACTTTGAAGCTTATCGTTCTTCTTTCTGTTTTTTTCTCCTGTATGTTCAGGGGCTAGCTCACAGACGCAGCAAGCCCTGCCAAAGGCTTCCTCTTGAATGTTGCCTGTTCAAACACAGATTTGGTCTGTATCAGTTACAATCTGACAGCTGTTCATTCTCAGGTATTAAATAAATGCAAAAGGCTAGGTATACCTCACAAAATCCATCACTGCAGCTGGACAAAAAGAAGGGAGTATCAAGTGTGGAAAGATGGCTGCTGTCCACATGTTGAGGCATTCTGGAAGTTTAGTAGTGGCTTGCAGAACCAGTGCCATTTTTTGTAGCAGCAGCAGACAGCATCCAGGATGGGCAGAATCCATCTCCCTCTGTGTTAGACTTAGCTTCTACAAACTCTTCCCTGTGAAGACAAAAGGCCCTTCGAGGCTCCGGTGCCTTGAAAAAGCACCTCAAAAAGGAGTCGTCGTCCTGCTGGGCTCTGCCCATCTTGGGTCAGCACCATCCAATATCCATGATAAACCAAAGCAAATTCTCTGGGGCCAGGTCTTCAGATGGGCTGTGCTAGCACCACTCTCCCACAAGCCGCTGAGGCTGTAGTGACCAAAACCATTGTTTTCAGAGAAGGGTCATTAAGGGTTATTTTGCTTGCGTTGCAGAGCAATTGGAAAGAGCAAGGCACTGCAGCCCCCCTGTGTGACTATAATGTCTGTGAGTGGTGTTCCTTCATTTTAACCAGCAGGTAGGGATGTAACTCCTCTCCATCCCAAGAGACCTGTACATGAAGCAGAAGCGGCGCAGCCTGGAGCTGTGAGACCTGCATGCTCAAGCAGTTGTAGTAGCACTAGGCATGTCTCTGTTGTTCTGGTGAGGTATTCCCACTGATTTAAGAGCCCAAAGGCATCTTTTAGTGCACACAGCTTAACAGTTAGTAAACAATTAACTCCAAGCTGAAGAGTGAATGATTAACGAAGTCAGCCAAAGGACTTCCATATAGCCAATAAACAGACAGAGAAATTGTTTAACTTATCACCAAAAATAAAATGACCTTAAAGGAGCGCCTGGTAGTGTTTGGTTGCTCTGCAAGAAATACCTCTATATAGTGTTATCCCATTTTCTTCCACAGAAGGCTAGTGGCAACGAAACTTAAGGTGAGCCTTTTTTCTCAGGCTCATAAACATTATCAGTGTTTGCATTCTCTGGTTGACTGAAGAGAACCCAAGGGGAATAAAGAGTTTTGGAAACAAGATAAAATGTGAGGCATCCCGAAATTCAGCTGTGAATGTAGCTTGACAAAGATTTTCCCTGTGACAGCCAAATATCAGTTTCTGCCATTTCTTCCCAGTGTTATCCTTTCTCTGAGACGAAATGAAGCATGCTATGAAAATACTCTCTCCCATGCCATAAGGTCTCCACAACGCTCTATGGATTCTCATTACAGAAGGATTTAATTTGTAGTATTGTTGTAAATCCAAAGCATCGGTAGTGGATTGACTTCCCATTTAAACATGTAAAAACAAGAGCTGAGTTGGACCCATCCTACCAAGCAATACAAAACACAAGTAAAATCGGTAGCTTTAAGTGTCTGATCAGAGAGAAATCACCTGCTTGTTGAAAGCGTGAGCAAAGTAATCAGCACGTTAACTGTGTCCAGACAGTGGAAGATTGCTGTGTAATGTCACTTGGCCTTTTCCAAACAGCAAGAGATAGAGTG